CACACACACACACACACACACACACACACACACACACACACGCACGCACGCAAACACAGAGTGCTGATACTCCGTAAGTCGTGACTCCTCACAGCAATACCTACACAACCTTGCAGTCCAGACGAACCTGTCCTAAAAGAGCTGATGCGAAATATGCAGCTATCTTCCCATCTGAGAAAGACGCGTTCGACTCTCCCGTTTCTGAGAGAAACGACGACTCATGAGCGGTCTAAACGCTCACGAAACATTGAATTTTCCGAACTGCCTTCACCGACTCCCAGTTTCGCGGTGAACGCCTCCGTAAGCGTACTACCCCACTAGCTACTTTCTAGCAAGCGGAAGTCGAGCCAGGCACTGTCAAACAGCACACGTGAGTGCCCTGCAGAGCAACGGAGAGTGACGTCTTAGATCATTCNAAATTGCATGAATGGTTTTAGAAAAACTACGCTTTCAAAAAAAAAACAAAAAAAACACTAAGCTCAACGAGGAAAAGGAACGCCGCACTAACCTCTTTTCTTGCTTCAGCCTCGGCGGCTGCTTTCTCCGCTCTTACGAGAGCTTGTGCTCGGCGTTCCCGGTGAAGATCCTCTGCCTGCTCACGCAGCAGCTCGCTAGCTGATGAGCCGGGACCACCGCCGCCTTCTACCTCTTCTCCCTCTTCACCTTGCCTATCCCTTCTCGCACCCTCATATTTGACGACGGCGGCAGCAGCCTCTTGCAAATCCAGCACTTGCCCAAGTCCCGGCTTCAGCGAAGCTCCCGTACAACGGGAGGCAGCAGAGGCGGCTACACCCACATCTCCTTCGTGCCCTCCCTCTCCTGGATGCTGGACAACATATGTCGGTCGATAACTCTCGGCTTCACTCGCCCCGCCTGTGCCGCCTCCACTAAATTCCTCCTTCAGCCTCCTCATCACCCTCTCCTCGATGGTCATTGGCTGGTCGCGTCCTTGTCTCCCTCCCTCCACTGCCTCCACCTCCCCCGCCGCCATAGCCGACATAGCCGGCTTGCTGCTGTCCACTGCTCGCTGCTCATCCTTAGACGCCGTGGGCGCAATCACAGCCGCTGCTGGCCCGATGACTGATTGATAAGTCATCCCAGGCGGCTGATTAGATGGCTCCGATAAGGTAGAGCTGCCAGATTGCGGTGCCGGCGTCGGACACGTGGCAAGAGCAGAGGAAGGAGCTTCGTACGAGCGGTAACTCCCGCCACCGGACATTTTCAAAGGTTGACCAGGTCCAAAGAACTGCTGCACATCGGTGACCAGTCTGGCAGCTTCGATGAATCTTCTCTCTTCCTCGTCCTCGGGAGCAGAGCGCTTCCTCTCCTCCCCACCACCCAATCCCTGTTTCGAACGCAAGACGACCGGCGCTTCACGGCTGGACAGCACGGTATTGCCTTCAGAACGTTCATCACCCCCTTGATGAGCTTGATGGGCTTGATAGGCTTGATAGGCTTGATGGGCTTGATGGGCTTGATGGGCTTGATCGCCCCCTTGCTCCGGCACTTTCGATGGTTCAGCCATGGTGTATGGCGCCCCTTGGAAGACTGGCATCGCCTCTGGTAAGGCCTTCAGTTCTCCGGTCGTTGGAATCATTTTCTCGGCGTCCATCTTCGACGCCTCCAGGGCTTCCGTCAGACCCCAACCCTCAACCTTCTCATTGGATTTCTGCTGCTTTACCCCGCCTTCATCTGAGGATCGACCTTGCTTCTGACCCTCGTGCTCACCTGACGTCTCCTGGGACTTGCCAACCCCCTCCTCCNCCCTCGTGCTCACCTGACGTCTCCTGGGACTTGCCAACCCCCTCCTCCACCGGTCCCTGCTGGACATGCTTCGCCTTCTCCCCCACCGAAGCTTGTTCGTCATCACTCTCGTACCCACTCTGGGCCTCAGGCTCCTGCTGTTGCTGCTGCATCATGGCCACTAGTACCCACTACCGTCACAAACACTCTCCTGGGTTTAGACCCTTGAGCTACGCCTGTTCCCAATCTCTAACCCACGGATGCTATTCCCCTCTCTCTCTCTCTCTCTCTCTCTCTCTCTCCAACCGTCACAAGCACAATCTTGGGTCGAAAGCCCTGAAC